AAAAAAAAAAAAAAAAAAAAAAAAAAAAAAAAAAAAAAAATTAGGGTTTAGGGTTTAGGGTTTAGGGTTTGTGTGTACCTTCAAGCATGATATTTCTGAACAAAACATGTTGTAAGTTTCCGAGAACTCTATCAAGTAAATCTCTGCCTATAGAAACACAAACTGTCTCCTCTTCTGCAGTTATTGTCGCGCTGCGAGGCTCATCGTATAGCAATGCACGCTCCCCGAAATAGTCTCCTTTCTGCAGCAGCAGCAGCAGCAGCAGCAGCAGCAGCAGCAGCAGAAAAGGCGGCAGCAGCAACAGCAGCAGCAGCAGAAAAGGCGGCAGGAGCAGCAGCAGAAAAGGCGGCAGGAGCAGCAGCAGAAGAGAAGCAGCAGGAGCAGCAACAGAAGAAAATTGAGGTTTTAGTCTAAACCCTTGACCCCAAACCCTCGTAAACCCTAAACCCTCCTAACCCCTCCTAACCCTTCCCAACCCCCCCTAAACCCTCATAAACCCTAAACCCTCATAAACCCTAAACCCTAAACCCTAAACCCTGACCTGAAGGAGCCGAACATCTTTCCCTTTGATAGAAACCCTCGCTTTTCCGCTTTTTAATATATAAAGAATATCTCCTTTTTCTCCTTCTTTAACTATAGGCTGCCCCGGGCGAAAGGATTGAACCACCAAAGCATTTGTTATCTGAACGAAAACCCTAAACCCTAAACCCTCGAAAACCCTAAACCCTCGTAAACCCTCGTAAACCCTCGTAAACCCTAAAAAATACATTACCCCAAGGATTTGGTTCGTCCAGGAACTAACACTCTAAATCATAAACCCTAAACCCTAAACCCTAAACCCCTTTTCTACACCACTCCCTGCACACCAATACACCCCAAACCCTAAACCCTAAACCCTAAACCCTAAACCCTAAACCCTCGAACATACAACATTTTTTTGTGCTTCTGTTAACATTTGAAAGAACTCAACAGACGCCAAGAACTGCCGGTTTTCGGCGAAGTTTCTGCTGCTCAGTTGCTTCAACGTTTCCCTAAAACAAAAAAAAAAAAAAAAAAAAAAA